TCCTTCCTTCCTTCCTTCCTTCCTTCCCTGCTTCTTATTCTGATCTCCTTCCTTCCTTCCTTGTTATTCTGATCTTCCTTCCTTCCCTCCTTCCTTCCTTCCTTCCATCCATCCATCCATCCATCCATCCATCCATGGTGTGCCGTGGTTAGAATGAAGGATTACAGGCTAATTCTGCCCACTGCCAGCAATTCAGTCCTGACAGGCTTAAGATTGACTCAGCCTTCCATCCTTCCAAAGTCGCTAAAGTGAGGACCCAGATTGTTTTGGGGTGGGTGGGGTGGACAAGAGGCTGACTCTGTAAACTGCTTAGAGAGGACTGCAAAAGCACCGTGAAGCGGTATATAAGGCTAAGGGCTATTGCTATTTGCCTATGAAGTCCTGGCCAGCGGACTGGGCTATCTCTTTCCCTGATAAGGACTTCACAACATTCAAAACTAGCATTTTCCGCACCCCGGACTGAGAATCCCATCCGGAGTTTGATCCATTGGGTGTTGAATGCCACTTTCCTAAACCCCGACTCTCCGTCTTCTTCCCCAGGGAAGAGCCGGGAGAAACTGCTCCTACAACAAGCCGTCGTGAGCGACCGCTTACAGCATCTGCTGCAGCCAAAGATGCTCAAGTAAGTTACCTTAGTTTAGTTTAGTTTACTCTATTGTCACTGCACACCGTGCAATGAAGTTAAATACCATGTTCAGTGTACTATGCAGCAGAATTCAAAAGAGCTCCTGCCCTGGGATAGAAGCTGTTTTCCAGCCTGTTTGTCCTTGTTTTTATTGTCCTGTACCTCCTGTCAGATGGCAATAATGCAAAAAAAGATGAGATCGCTCTTTGAGGATGTTTTGAACTTTCTTAAGAGCTCTGAAGCTCTTCCAAAGAGGGGAGAAGGCAACCAGTGATCCTCTGGGCAATGACATTCACCCTCTGGAGCGCTGTCCTATCTGCCCCTGTGCAACTGGCAAACCATACAGAGGTGCAGTCAGTTAAGATGCTCTCTCTGGTGCAGCGCTAGAAGGTCACCAGCAGTTTTCCTATTCAGTTGTTGTTTCCTGAGAAGCCTCAGGTCGTATAATCTCTGCTGGGCCCTTTTGACCAGGGCTGCAATGCGAGCACCCCAAGTCAGGTCCTCTTTGATGACAACACCCAGAAACTTAAAACTGGCCACTTGCTCCCCTCGGTCTCCATGGATAAGCAAAGGCTGGATGTCTGATCTTGTCAGATCCGTGTATCTGCCATTCTTCATGGAAGAAGTTGGTATAAGGCATCCTTGTTGATGTAACCTGGTTATATTAAATCTTATGTTGAAATTGGATAACCCATGATATACTATGGAGGGACAGAGACCAGATGCCCGGAACCCTGTCACCTCTGAAAGAGACAGCCACAGGATGAAGATACCATAAAAATTCCTGCTGGGAGATGCCTCCTGGGAACCTCAAAAAAGATCCTTCTCAGAAGAGGTGGGGGGATAAACATATTGGCTCCTTGTTTTACTAAATACACATCAAGAGAAGGGGAGGGGTCTTAAACTCCCTTATCTATCTCTGCCTGCCTGAGGCACGTTAGCCGCTGCTTTAAATCCCTACAGGAATTGTCTCATCTCAATAAAAGATTCCTTTTGATATGTTTGGTTTTCAGAAGTTCATTCTTGTTGATTGAATGGGAAAAGTTCTGTAGCCTGACAGATCTGTCCCTTCTATAGTCCACTATAAGCTTCTTGGTCTTCTTGGTGTTTGAGTACCAAGCAGCTTCTGGTAAGAAACAGGAGGGAGAAAAACGCCTTGTTAGCCCCACCAATTGCGTCAACCCCGAACAACCCACATTTTCTGTCAAGCAATATTGGGCTTTTTGTAACCTTTCTTGAATTAGAAGGAGATTTATTCGATGCCATCGCTCTAACCTTGGGTCTGCATCTCCTAAGGAAGAAAATCCCAGCCTTGGGGTGAGAACCTTTGTTTCTTCATCGCCGCATAGACAAGTTGGCTTTAAAGCTTCAGGTGGTTTCTGTTCTCCAACCTGCTCTTAGAAGGGGGTTCCCAAAAATACAAACTGAGGCAACTCTAGAATCAGCCCAGGCACGCGCGGAGTCTGGCCCGCAAGGCTGCGGTGGTTGTGCCTCTTGAGATGAATTTCGTAGTACAACTGAAAAAATGCGACAGGACGAGACCCCTCCTATCATCCAGCTTGTTGCAGGGGGTTGTTCCCATCTCTGGGTGTTTTTTTGTGCGTGTGTGTGTCTCTGCACAGACCTCTTCCAATTTTTTTTAACAGGGTGGATTATCTGAATGAAAAACGGGAGAAATCCAAGGATGAGGTGGAAAAGCAGATCTTGGGGAAGCAAATCCAGGAAACGGAACGTGAAATAAGTGAAATCAAGTAAGATTTGCCGCTTGAATTTGTTGACTGCTTGTGTCCCTGAGACAGATGTGAGCCGGTAATTTGGGAAGCTTTCCTAAAGCAATTTGAATCCACCTGCCAGCAAGAGTGATCTGGCAAACAGGAGCCGGAGAGAAGGAGGGGAGGAGTTGACTTCTACCTTGATCCTGGCAGCCAACTAAAATGATTCAGTTGTCAACTCATAAATCATTCCTATGCCTGTTTCTGAGTTGCCATAAGAAAGGAGGGGGAGGGGCTGAGGGAGCAGTGCGGCAGAAGCACATTCCACACTTATCTTGTGGAGATTGTAGCTGGATCTTCTACCCAAGGAAATCCTTCATTGGAGAGTGTGATTGATGACACCCAGCCCAGAAACGTGTTTTAGTTGGAGAATCTGATGTATGACATACCCAGGGGGTGGTGGGGAGAAACAGGGTCATAGGTGTCGTAAATTATGTATCTCAGAGTTGGCTTCATATGGGTTAGTGCCGGACATGTTGCTCCTAATAAATCCGTTGGATTCTTTTGAAGTTTGGCTCGAGGCTCATGATTTAATTAGGGCGATTGTCGGAACCCTGACATTAGTTGCATCTCCAAGAGCCTCAGTGGCTCTCTACCAAGTATTCTCTATGCGAGTCTTTCTCAACGTTGGCAACTTCAAAATGTGTGGATTTCAGCTCCCAGAATTCCACCAGGCAGCATGCTTGGGACAAAATTCTGGAGTTGAAATTCGTAGGTCCTAAAGTTGCCAAAGTTGAGGGAGATGCTCTGTTCCAGCGGTGGCTAACTTTTTTGGGCTCCCGTGCCAAAAATTGTGCCTGTGCTAGCACGCTCACGTGCAGCAACCAGAAGGCAATGTACGCCATTGCCTACGTACCCCATGCCCCCTACGCACGTGCATGCAATCCCTACCCACCCTATCCACCGCCCCCTTACCTGCACTGCGCCTCACAGCTGATTTTTGGCCTCCCAGAGGCTTGAGGAAGGCTTCTGCGGGCTTTGCAGGCCGAAAACTAGCCCTGTTTTGTCACTTATGGTATTTTCGGAAAAACAGGAAGTGACAAAACGGGGCTAGTTTTTGGCCAGCAAAGCCTGGAGAAGCCTTTGGGAGAAGCCTTTGGGAGGCCAAAAAAAAGGCCTCAAACTGGCCGAAAATCAGCTGTGAGGCAGGCGCATGCACAATGAGGTAAGTTTACCTACAACTCGTGTGCCGGCACAAATGGCTCTGCATGCCGTAGATTCGCCATCACGGCTCTATTCTAAGAAAACTTTTCATTTTTGTAGGGGTCTTACACAATATGCAGTGCTAGAATTGGCTGATAGTTCCTTAAAGTTGCTCAAGAAAACTGGCATACTGGATTTACACCTGACTGGTCTAAAACTGTGTCCAGATGCAGGTTTTTTGTTTCCTGATATCCGGTCTTTGATTGAGGACCACCTTGGCAGTTGTTAGGAAGTAAGGGCTAGGATTATAGGAGCAGCCTATACATTGTGAGATACTCTGAATTTGAAGCTGCTCTGGTTCCTTTGGGTGCATGCCAAAATTTTCTGGGCAGCCAGTTCAGCAGTAAAACCAATGACTCACCTTGGGTGTGGTTTTGCCAAGAACAGAAGTAACTTCAGTCTTCAGTGTTGTAAAACACTGTCATGTGACCGTAGGACACTGCAAATGGCTACAATTGTGGGCGTCTTGCAGAGGGACGAAGTTCGCTCATGTGGCCGAACTTGTGTCAGAAATTTGAATGTAGGTCACAAGCCAAGGTAGGTGTAAGGTCCTGCCTCCTCTCCTTACTCAAGAAAGTAAAATACTCTTGAAACTTGGTATTTCAAAAGGAATCTTTTATTGAACTGAAGTGATCGCAGAACAAAGGCAAAGCAGACTCTGAATCCCTTCAGGTAATGGAGTTAGAAATAAGACATTAGAAACCTTTTCTACCAGCCCAATGTGGATTCAGCCAATCCACAGGTGTGAAGATGTTATTGTAACGGCTTTCCTAAGAACCAGATAAGCAGGCATTCCCAAGGGTCATCTTCTGCCAGCTTTCAGAGTGAAACAACCCACATGGCCCTCCTCCCTTATACATTCCCCAAAAGGTGATAAAATCTCAGGGTGCTTAGGTGCCAGGATAAAGGTTACACCAGAACAACTAGACACAAGGACAGTTTTTTCCCGAATGCCATCACTCCGCTAAACAAATAATGCCCTCAACACTGACCAACTATTTACAAAGTCTGCACTACTCTTACTATTAGTCTTCTCATCACTCCTTATCACCCATCCCCTCCCTCTTGTGACTGTATGACTAACTTTGCCGCTTGTATCCTTACAATTTATATGGACTGTTTCCCAGTATGATGTGATGGCTTATTGTCCCCTATGACTATTATTAAGTGTTGGACCTTATAATTCTTGACAAATGTATCTTCTCTTTTATGTACACTGAGAGCCTTTGCATCAAGACAAATTCCTTGTGTGTCCAATCATACTTGAATAAAGAATAGAATAAAGAATTTTATTCCTATTTCTATTCTATTCCTGTTCTATTCCTGTTCTATTCTATTCTATTCTATTCTATTCTATTCTATTCTATTCTATT